TTTCGAAGTTGCCTGACGAAATGGTTTCGTCATTCGTCATGACGAAAGGGTTTCGTCATTCGTCAGGCATCATTAACTTGGATTAGAAGGAGGAAAAGCATTAGCTGATTCAATTTACAAGAACACCACACTGACTACTTTGGAACTTAATCAGGATGAGCTTGGATCAGATGGAGGAAAAACATTAAAAAATTCACTTTGCAAGAACAATACCATGAAAAATTGGATATAAATTACCCATATATTAATATATATCAATATGCAAATGCAAAATAAACAATTTATGTAAATGGAATAACGTAAAATGTAATAAAATGTGTTTTAAAAAAGTTGGAATAACAATCAGACGACAGGATGAAACCTGGATTGTCAGCTGGTATATCAATACTATTATTTTTCCATCTACAAATATTTTACCAATTTATCATTAACAGTACTACAAAATTTCGTATTTATAGTAAATCATCATGTTATTTGTATTATACAGATTATCATTTGCATACAATTTTGATAAATGATTTTGACTATAAACATTATATTTATAAATTATCACTATTCAAATTCATGGAGAGGGCAATCGTTCCTTGATAGCCATTTTACTGATAATTATTTTCTTTTTCTAAATTATTTCCAACATTTTCATTTCTCTTAGCAATTAGTTCCCTCAATAATTTATTTTTCTAACATTTGCATTTATATTTTTTTTAATATTTATTAAGCCGTTCAAATTTATGAATACTTGCAGCTTAACTTCAATTTATTTGCGTTATTTATTTAGTTTGTGAGACAGAAACATTTATTAATCTATTCAAGTTCATGGATAAATACTATTTAATTTTATGTATTTTTTCTATTCATTTTAATTAACCAATAAGTAAAAAGTTATTCGCATTAAATTCACTATATTTGCTATACATTCAATGATTTTATATTTAAATTGCGTGAAAGAAAACCTTGTACTGTATAGTGTCAAGAATGTTCAGCTACGTATTTATAAATGATTTTTATTAATTGGACTGGTGGGAATCAAAAAATCGATGAAATTATAAAAACGCAAATAAATTAACAATTCACCATATGAACAATTTGAAAATATAAAAAAGATTTGTTATGGTTAGTTTGGAATATTTATAGCATATATTTGAAACAAGATTCACTTTTATGCATAAAAAAGAGGTCAAAAATGATGGAAGAATTCATATTGCACTAAAAAGTGGTAGCTTAGAATTTTTGGAAGAGGTGACTATACATTTAACTAAAGCAATACTGCAATGTTATTTGGTTATATAATTCTCATACATAATATAAATATATGCTTTAGCTTTGTATGTATATAAAATGTACAACTTCAAAGTTTACATGAGCAAACATCAATTTACAAATGGTTCTTAGTTGCTATAGTCTTACTAAATATCTTACACCTGAAGGTATTGAGAAAATATATGTTTGTAATATAATTTGCAGAAGATAGTGATTTGCAAAAATATTTATCCAAAAATAAAATAAATTGTCTATTCTTGCTAATATTGCAAATGGTCTTAAAATTATTCATGAAGATTTAACTCATGGAGAACTTCATTGTAATATATTTTAATTATTAATAATATATCTTATATTTCTAGCTTTGGACTATCACGTTTCTATGGTCATGAAATTCTACTACATGTAAACCATTTGATGTAGTACCATTTATGACTCCAGAAATTTTTGTAAACAAACCATTTGATCCTAAATCGGATATATATAGTTTTGGAATTATTATGTAGATGTTTTCTTCTGGAATTTTACAATTTCATAATTATAATATGATAAACAATTGTAATTGAACATATACAATGGAGCTCGACCTCAAATAATAGGTGGAATACCTTTCTTTGTCAAACTGATGCAAAAATGCTGGGATCATGAACCTGAAAAAATGATCTGCTTCATTGATACAAATTGCTCATGATATTATCTCAAAAATTTTAAAGAATCTAAAGCTTTTGACAAAATCTTATCATAAATAAAAAAAATATTAAACGTCAAGCTGTTCAAAATACTTTTAGTTCTTTGCATTTAAGTATACAAAGCAACTCATCAACTGCTAATCGATTTCAAGGTATCTAACTTATTATCACTCTTTTTTTGAAAAATTATATTTTGTATTAATTCTCAATGTTTAGATTCGGATTAAATAAATTTGGAAATAGCAATGAATATATACAATTATTGTTATACTTGTTCATGTAATAAAACAAGAATAAAGTATTAAGCTTGTGACTTTTAAATCATACTTAATAAAGCTGTCGAAGAAATTTGCAAAAAACTTTTGAAGTTGCCAAAAAGCAAACATAAGCAAATCGTTAAAAAAATTTCTTACAATGCAAATAAGTAGAGCTAGTTTTTTAGATTTAGTTTTTTTGCACGACAAAAGTCTCTAACTCTTCAATGACGAAATTACTGACATTTGAGATCTTTTTCTCATATTGACTTTGTGTACAAGATCCATTCTGACCATTTAATATTAAATCAGAATTCCCAAAATTCAACCAATTTGCATCATAACTATAAATTGCTGCCGCAGAATTTCTCACACGGCTAAGTATATGAGTATCAGAACCGTTCACATTTTCAAAACAAAAAATAAAGCTACAAAATTATATTCGTAGAAAAAATTATATACACACAATTAATAAAATTATGAATCATCATAGATAGTAGCTCACCTGTCATTAGTCGCTTCCCATCGCGCACTGCCGTAATAACCTCTATTATAGTTATAAGCATTATTTCTCAAACCTAGAGGGTTATATCCACCAATTATTCTTTCTGAATCGGAGACCTTAATTAACCCAAGAATTGCGCCGCTGCAATTATTAGCCATAAATTTATTGTAATCAAATCCGTCGCGTGTTGCTCGATAAGTAAGTCTAAATTGATATAAAGGTTTTCTAGCAAAGATTGCTCTTTTTTCAATCCAATTAATAATGGCCGCAGCCTTGTCTCTTTCAATTATAACAGAATCGATATTAATAGATCCACAACGTGAAGGTAATTTTGAAACTTTGGGATTTACATTGGCCATAAGATAAGCCACCAAATCTTCATAAAGATTTTCTGGTATCGCTTTTTTATAAGGTCTAACATGAAAATAAAAATCATCCCGAGATATTTCATGAAATCGAATGTGTGGTATGAACGGGTCTAAAAACCTTTTGAATGATGCAAAATCATTATCTCCCCAATTGGCAACATCCGCCTTAGACTTTCCTTTAGGAGCAGATTGAGCCGTTCCCCATTTTATTAAATATTTCCAAGTATCAATTTCTTCAATATCCAAATCATCTCTCATGACAAGTTTCAAAAAAATATCTTTGTCTAGAGCTGAAAATTCCTTTAATTCAAAGAATGATTTTGGATTCTTGCAGATAGTTTTCATGATATGATCTTGTAATGTCTTGCAACTTTGGAGCTTAAAAACTGTGTGCAAAGCGACAACGGAATGTTTTTCAACCAGGATGATTCTTCATTAATGAGCTAATTAATTAATTTTTAATGTTTATATTTGTAAAAAAAAAAATATTAATAATAATTAAATTTCGGTACACGCGTTGAAAATGATTAATCTTACATGCTTTTGGACATAATCAACCAATTTATTAAGAAATAACTCGTCGGATGCGACAAGAAGTGCAAGAATAATAAAACCTGATTGATTGGTTAGGTCAAGAACTCCAGTATAGATATATCTCAAAAAATTTAGGCAAAAAAAATGAATAAATAAAAATAAATAAATAAATCAATAATAAAAATTTATACAAACAATTTCATATTAATTTAACATACTGAAGAATTAAAAGAGATACGGCAGGGAATATATTTGGCTTTTTAAACACAATAACACCATCTTTACGGTTTGCCCATCTATTAGATAAAGCAGTTTTGAAATAAGGTGACCTAGCACGCAAGATATTTGAATGAACATTAAATTCTTTAAAATTTGATTTTTCTCCGGCTTGAATAGTAACATCGTAATCATCAGATTCATCAAGAAGTCGTGAAAAATCTTTTGAAAGATCGTCAAAGAATTTTGCAACTACCATGATTATTACTTGAAAAATAAGATTGAGAAAGACATTAATTTATTATAACTTGACATAACTTTTCATGTACATAAATACGATAATAAAAAATTAAAATACGTAAATGACGCAATGTACATACGTACGTCCATAAGTTATTTAAACTCATTAATATTTATTAAACTT